AAACCCATGGAACAGCTATGGGCACGAAAATGGCCGAAGCCTTTGCTAACATCTTCATGCCCAAAATAGAAAAAGAAATACTCAGACAGAGCAGCATTAAGCCCATCTTTTGGAAAAGGTTTATTGATGACGTCATATCAGTATGGAACACAAGCAGAAACGAAATAGAAGAATTCCTTCTACAGGCAAACAACTTCCATCCTACAATCGAATTCACACACAGCTGAAACATCAGAAACAGAGACTAAATTCTTGGACACGAAACGTGCAAAGGTGTGATTCAACAATGATTCTATCCTTGATGTGCGAACACACTTCAAGCCTACAGAAACATTTCAATAAACGAATTTCTATTCGTGTCACCCACCAGGCATCACAAAAGGCTTCATCAAAGGAGAAGCTTTAAGGTTTCTAAGAACAAATTCCTCTGAAATCAGTTTTGAAGAGAACATGAGGAATTTTTCAACACGTCTCAAGAATAGAGATTACCCAGCTACGTCATACAACTGTAGAAAAACATCTCTCAGAGGTCATTTTCGCAGATAGAAAGAAAGCACTAGAACAGGGAAACAAAAATACTACCCTTTGTAACGCAATACCACCCTGCATTGCCCAACCTCAAGGACATACTCATGGGGAAATGGCACCTTATACAGAACCAACCATATCTCAGAAACATCTTTAAGGAACCTCCCCTCATTTCATATCGCAAAAGAAAATCCCTAAAATACACTCAAGTAAGAGCTAAACTATAAAGGTTTTAAGACCAATCTATTTGCAAACTGCAGGAGTCGTGTAGGCCCGTCAACACTTCCAACCAGTGTGCTCGGTTTCAGTCCCTCTCGGAAACAAAACTGATCAAAAATTGTCGTCTCCCTTCTTGATTTAAAAAAAATGCATCTTGAGTTAGAAAACGTGTCTCTTGATACATGACATGAAACATGTGGGAATTGAAACTAAATTCTACAATCTTGACACATTCAGAAAGCAACTTGATGTTAACTTTATCGATCTTGATAGTAATTTGGTGGATTTGAATTATTAAGTGGCATCTTTGATATTTTGTCACTTTTAGCGTAGCATAGGTCACTGATGCGACCTGTTCCGACATGTTAGGCAGATGTTATAAAGCATTTTACGTTTCATTAATATTATAATAGCACAGTCAATCTTCCTAGCTAGAGTGATTTTGTTGTTCAAAGTAGGAGATGCTAGTGGAGAGAGAAAATACTTAATTACAGCAAGTAATTTAACGGAGGTTACATTAACCATAAATAAAAGTAGTAAGAACGTACTTTTGAAATATTCTTTTAACTTGTTTTATATAGTGTTTTGGTATTGTTTGTTTAGATTTTTTCCCCTGGGGTGGGGGCTTTTTTGACACTTTTGATCGACCTTTCGTTTCCCACCCTGGGGAATTTGATCAAAAAATTTCAAAATTTGTCAAATCCCCACCCCTTGCCCCCCCCCCCACGGGGTTTACATTGATAGGTGCATAAGGCTTCTAAGAAAAAATTCCTTTGAAATCACTTTTGAAGAGAACATGAGGAATTTTTCAACACGCCTCAAGAGTAGAGATTACCTAGCTACAACTGTAGAAAAACATCTCTCAGAGGTCATTTTCGTGGACAGAAAGAAAGCACTAGAATTGCCTGCGTGCAGACGTCTCCTATTTCCTTTGTTGCACGCGGAAAAGGGACGTCTGCGTAACGCTGTCGCTAATCGTGTTCCAGCGTCCTGCTGGGTTCCCAAGATCTTGGGAACATGCTGTGATAGGCTGACACACAGTGCGCATTGTTTGACTTAACGCTGATTGGTTGTTATCGAATGTGGTCTGATAATGATTGTATGCGGTGATTTAAATGATTTATGTAAGCGGGGTTTTCTAACCAAAACAAATCAAAACATGTGCGATTGTGTGCTGTGTTTTTCGTCGATCGAAAAGCAGAGCGATCGAAATCTTGTGCTGGGACGCGGAAAATTTAACGTGTACGAGGAAATTATTTATTTACAATTTACTGTGCATGACACATCACATCATATTTGTAAACAGTGTCTGAGAAAACTACAAAAGCGGCGTGGACTTCGCACCAGGCAGGCATTTTGGAGAAAGCCAGCCAAAGAAACTAAAATCTTTATTTAGCCGTAACAAACAGAGGTCAAGAAAATTTAAACACTTTACAACTGCATCTGAAATCAAGTCCTATCGGGAACACCCACAGAAGCATAAACCACAGGAAATGATTACTCAGTATGCATGTAACAAACCTGCTTCATGACCTCTAAATGGAAGACTTAGCGTGGCAAAAATGAGATTTACTCAGTCAAAGGTTAGAATGCTACATGCTCTGTGTAGTGCTAGTAATCTTCGCGCGAGAGAGAAAAGAAGAAAAACCTCTGTTCAAGCAGACTCTCAAGGTCACGTTTCGCCCGTATCACAAGCTTATGATGTTTTGTTTGGCCTGTCACCTCTTATTTCTAACCAGATATTATTTCACAATTTATGCGAAATAGAATTCAGTCCCTCTCGGAAACAAAACTGGTCAAAAATTGTCGTCTCCCTTCTTGATTAAAAAAAAATGCATCTTGATGTAGAAAACGTGTCTCTTGATACATGACATGAAACACGTTGAAATTGACATTAAATTCTACAATCTTGACACATTCAAAAAGCAAATTGATGTTAATTTTATCGATCTTGATAGTAATTTGGTGGATTTGAATTATAAAGTTGCATCTCTGATATTTTGTCACGTTTGTGTAGCATAGTCTGGTCTTCACAATCTTCTATCATTGCCAGGAAAAAACTACCAAGAGCTAGCTCCCACGACTCAACCCACGACTACTCCGAAAGCAATGGTGGGAGCAGATTCGTCATGTTACTTAGCAACTTGCAGCAAGAAAGAATCTAAAAAGACTTTCCATTTCCAGAAATGCTATACATGTTGTATTTTCTTTGAAGATAGGTTTTGAATGATTTACAGCTCTGAAGTGCGAGAGAAACATTACACACATAATAATATACACCAACTTCGAAAAAATAGATAAAACTACAGACATCTCAGTCAATAATTATGTCAGTGGTAAAATCAGTATTTGAGAACACTTTTCGTGCACACTACATGACCTATAAAATGACGAACGAGGAAAGATCAAAGACTAATCTCACTTTGAGCTATTTTGCTCTGTAAACGTCAAAACAGCACAAGAAAACAAAGAGCAGTAAAATTACCGTAAGTGGTGTTTATTTTTATAGCCAAATTCAGACTGAAAAAGGAGTTTGCCCAGCCTGGCCACTAGCGGTAGGTTTTTCTTGTCGCAGATAGTTTGTTCATATAGGCGTTGCTAAACAAACCCAAGTCGTGTATTTACCATGAGAACAAGTTCATTGTTTCTGACTGGGGTAATAATTGCTTGAAAGTGTTTGATAATACAGGAAAGTTTTTGTACAACATCAGAGAACCAGGCAAGGGGGATGGACAGTTTAAAGGGCCTTACGGACTGTGTGTCCAGAAATATGGAAATCACCATAATCTTCTTGTTTGTAATAGACCCAATGGCCGTGTTGATCAGTTTACAACACTGAAGTAACAAAAATGCTTTATAAGGACAGACTTGTCTCACAAAGTCAGATGGCTCGATGGGGTTTCAAAAGTTAATACCTCAGAAGTTTGAGCAGAAACTACGTTGCCATTAACGAAGGCACTAGCTTATCTTTAGCTACTTTAAATTCAAGGTTGAATAAAGTATATGTATGTATGTTATGTATTAACAAAGATTTGGAAAAATTACTAGCCTGCGAGCAAGTCTCCCATCCCTGTACCCCAAGAGCCCTAGGAGAGTTTGCGAGCAGGCTTAAAAATTACCACCACACCACAGTTGTGTGGTCCATGGGGACTGTGTCCCATCCAGAAATGTGGCAATTATTACAACCTTGTTGTATGCAATGCTGGCAATGGTTGTATTGATCAGTTTACACTGGAGGGGTCTTTCACTGGAAAAAACTGTTAATAAGTCACAGAGACCTGCATGAATAATTGCAATGTCAGATTGACATATTTTTGTTTCAGACTGTAAAGCCACTAAGATTCACAACCTGCAATAAGCAACAAAACAGAGATCACAGTATGATAGAATTCAAAAGTAAATAGCCAAATGTTTCTGTAGAGGGAGAGCTGTGTGACAACACAATATTTCAGTTAAGCAATTGCAAAGGATAAGATATTAAAGTTGACCAAAGTTAGAGAATAATGCGGAGTAAACTAAGAGTTATAACACAGTAAATAATTCTCTTTCTGATATATTAAGTAGTTATGCAAGTTGGTAGGCGATATATTAGATAAAAGAAACTCTCTTGCTACTATTTTTAAAAGGACTGTGTAACTAATAATTTTGTAATAGTTATCAAATATCTAATAATTTTGTAATAAAATCAAATAATTGTCTAAGAATTTTTTCATAGTTATCAGATAATTCACTTGTCACAGGCAAATGAAAGTATGGTTGCAATATTTGAAAAAAAAAAAAAGAAAAAAATTTGGTACTGATTATTTCACTTTTGTTTTTAGTCAAAGCAAAAGTGAGCCAAGATTGTTTCATAATTATGCAAAAGTTTCTGAGTTCATATCATTATCATCAGTGTGCAATAAAATTTATCATTCCATGAAATGAAAATGATTTTTTTGAGTTAATTATTATAGCTGTGAGTTCTGACAAATATGCTGTCATCTTCTGGTCCTGATCAATGTACTACATAAAAATGTTTTTTCCTTCTGGATGGGTTGAATGTGTTGTGGTTCAGTTTTATCCTTGGATTAAATTTTATTTTCTTTTGTTTCAAACTCGTTATCATATGTTACCATACACAATAACAAAAGAAAAGAAAATTCAAACCAAGGATAAATTGAACCACAACAAATACACTTATACCTGTATCATAAATCATTATACATATACCTTTCCACAGGTTGACTCAGTTGCTCCAGCCTAAAGTCCCTTCTGTTAAACCCAGCTGTGCATTGTACAAGTGTTGTGGTGGAAGCAGTTGTTGCCGAAGGAACAATGGAACCTGTAAAACTTACATTTAATGTAAGATTCATTACCTTTAGAATTTTATAATGGGATCTGTGCAGATCAATAATAAATATTTATATTAAAATGTTACAGTCAACTCTCTCTCTTAGTGGACACCTCTTTAAGTCAGACACCTCCCTAAGGTGGACACCTGGTGTTGGTCCCTGCCGTTTTTCAGTCATTTTACTGTAACTATACTCTCTATAAGAAGACGGACACTTCTCTAAGACGGACACCTGGTGTTGGTTCCTGCTGTTTTCCAGTCATTTTACTGTAACTATAATTATACTCTCTATAAGACTGACATCTCTCTAAGATGGACACCTGGTGTTGGTTCCTGCCGTTTTGTAGTCATTTTACTGTAACTATATTCTCTATAAGATGGACACCTGGTGTTGGTTCCTGTCATTTTTCAGTCATTTAACTGTAACTATATTCTCTATATGACAGACACCTCTCTAAGACAGACACCTGGTGTTGGTCCCTGCCGTTTTCCAGTCAGTTTACTGTAACTATATACTCTCTATAAGACTGACATCTCTCTAAGACAGACACCTGGTGTTGGTTCTTGCTGTTTTGTAGTTATTTTACTCTAACTATACTCTCTATAAGATGAACACCTCTATAAGACGAACAACAGACACTTTTGAAACTGTCAACGAACACTCTTTTTAGCGACTTTCTTCAGAAAAATCATATGCTGGTAACCTAGGATTTCAGAGGTTCAGACCAATACTTGGTCCAGTACAATTTTCCTTAGAATACAGCCTTCGCTTTACCATTGTAATGCATATCACGGTAGGATCAGGCACTCTGTCTCTATCACTCCATTTGTGATCTCATTATATATCCACCCAAGTATATAGTGATGTAGAGTTGAAGATCATTTTCAAAACTTGTTGAAAACATGTTTCTGCCCAAACCTCATTAAATCCATATACAGTCAAATCCTGCTACATGTAATACAGAGACTGAGGCCGGGCCATAAAAAATGTACGTATTAATGGGGTGTCCGTATTAAACAGGTTAAATTTGGAGAAAATGGAAGGGCTTTCTCTCCCTAGGGATGAAGCAAACTGTCAGGTCATGTAGAAGCTCTGCTAACCCTAAAAGCCAATAAGGGTTTGCTGCCCAAAACGTAAAACAATGGAAATGTAATGATAAATAATTTTGCGTTATTTTTCTCTGCGACCGATGAGAAGACACCTGACAAGCAGCTGCTACAGTATGAAACTGTCTGCAATAATGAGGTGTGTGTATTGAGCGGGTGTCCCTACAGCGGGGTTTTTCAGCAGGTACAGTCATCACAAAAAAAAAAGGAACCAAACAATAGAGTTCTCCTGGGAGCTTTATTGTTTGGTTGTGTTGTTTCTTTTTGGTGTATGTAATCTGTGCCTCGGTACCTACAGAAGGAACCGTAAAACAATGTTTCACTGTATTACAGAAGTTAAAAATCAACACTTGAGTCAAGTCCACCCGTGACACCACACTCAGTATTTTTTCTCATATTTTGAAGATGTCAGATTTCAAAGATCACCTATTCAGATGTGCAGGACCACCAAGTGACAACAAATTGGTGTATTGTTCTGGTACGAAATTGTTTTGAAAACTTATCCTGATATTTTCTTGTTAAACAAGAAACATTAGCACCCGTTACTTTGCAACCTCCTATGTTCAAACTACTCTAATTTTCCATTATTTATTTTAACGTTTTCAGGTCATTCTAATCCGCCAGAGTTAGATTTACTCTTATTAGCATTGGATAAAGGACCTACAGGAAAAGAGTTTGATTTTACCTTCCAGTCCAGAGATTCGCCTGACTTGGTTAGATCAATCCGTCTTATGTTATCTTGTCTTCATTTTTCCTCGACTTCATAAATAGTTCATTTAGGGTTGAAATGGATTCAGTCGCACGAATTTGTCAATTTTAAGCGAGGTAGAACAGAAAACCCTTCCAGATTTTAACCGCGACGTATTCTTGAAATGTGAATTTTGAAGTGTCCTCTTTCCCAGTATTTTGGCTACCATATGGAGACAATTTTCCATTGTTGGTCGCCATTTTCTTTTAAGTAAACCGGAAGTTCCTCGATCAACTTTACTTCCGGTTACATCAAAGCGGGGTAAAAAGACCCCATCTTGATCAGCCGGGCATAGTGGCGCGTGCCTGTAATCCAGCTACTTGGAGGCTGGGGTCTCTGAACGGCTTGAGGGTGGGATTCCTTGGGGCGGTTGTCCTATGTAGATCGGGTGTCCGCGCTAAGTTTGGCGTCAATATGGAGAACACGGAGGAATGTGAGTTCTCCAGGTTGGTTAAAGAGGAGCGAACCGGCCCAGGGTGGAAACACAGCAGGCAAAAGTTCCCGCATCAAACAGTAGTGGGATAGCACCTGTGAATAGGTGATCGTTCACGGCCCGTTCAAGATGGTCGATGCTCGTTCGATGCACTCACTCGTGAAATATTTTTCAACACTTGAAGAGAAATTTCGTATTTCCGCGCGGCCATGTAATATCCCCTATTTATCCATTTTCCAATATTTCCTCGCAAGTTAGAAACGTAGCCAATTTTTTTGTGTGCTTCGTTTTTTACAAGGTTAACATCCGTTACCTGTTTTCTATTCGAATATCGTATTCGTTTTTTGTTGATTTTCATGCATTTATTTTTTGTTTATTTATTATTTTCTTTCTTTTTCAGATAGGTGAGTTAGGCCGACTTCTTATCAACATTTTGGCCTTTATTCCTGGTGTAATTTTATGCTTCTTCCCGTCATACGATTATGAAGAACAAGTTTACACACATTGGCAAAGGACCGGCATCCTAGACAAAATGAATAAAAGAAAAAAGGTTCAGTTATGAACAAGTCATTGTTTTCTCTTTCCCTTCGTAAGCCTGACTCATCATTGTACTCAGTCCTCTTCCTGCCCAACTCCGAATTTGCAAGGAATAGTACTGGGAACGAGATTAGTGCCGAGACGGTTACAAGATATAATGTTTTTAATGTATAAGGTTAAAAATTCACTAGCTCCAGAGCATGTATGTAATATATTTTTTCAGCAAGATAAGCATTATAACTTACGAAGTGATTTTCCTGTTCCAAGATACAATACTGTTAAGTATGGCAAGCACAGTATCAGGTATTTAGGCCCACACATATGGGGCAAGATAAGCCAGGAACTATGCAGTAAGACCAGTCTTCAGGCATTAAGGAGAGGGGTGCGTGCTCTCATTGTGCTTGACTTGCTGGACGGTACGTGTGGCTGCTGTGCATGCTCATCTTAGAGTGGTGGGTATGCATAGTGGCTTCTGCTGTCTGGCTGCCTGGTGTATTGGGAGTGTCCTCCCCTATCCTCTATTTAATTCGTCTAATTTGAATTTTCTAGACTTTTAACTTTCTGAATTTTGTATTTATGTTTGATTGCTGCTTATATGTTTGTCTTGTATTGTCTGTTTGTTTGTCTGTGTATATGATTGTCTGTTTTGTTTTTTGTCTATCTATTTGTTTGTCTTTGTTTGTTCCCTGCTTGTCCTGCTGTTTGTCTGTAATGATTTTATATATTAATGTTATTTTTATATATTGATGATATTTTAGTGATATATTTTTAATATTTTTATATTTGCTTGATTTAATCTTGTATTATATTCATTTTGTTTATTTGTAGTGTCCACAATTAGCTTTTAGCTAAATACCTTGACACTTTACTAAAGTTTATGTTTGTATGTATGTATGTATGTGGTGGTTTAGAGCGATTTCTTTCGCCATTCACAGCCGAGTTGACAATAAATTAAGTGAAACAGTCAGATTTGCAATCAAATATTTCCACCCATTGCGCATGCCCAGTGCGGGGAATGCTTCTGCCAAGTCAGGAGTCTGTAAAGTTGCGCGCGATTTTCCAGCCAATTGCAAAGCTAAACGTAGCAATAAACGAAGCATTTAAAATAATTTTAACACCAGTGAAAGTGATTCTATGCAAAACCCCTTGTTCTCCTTCTCATCCCATCCCGAGAAAGAGTGGCAAAAGACGGAGCGTAAAACTAAATATTTCCAGCAGAAGAATCTTAGGAGAACTAAACCCTTACGAAAGGAAATTGTAGACGTAGGGTTACCATAGAAGCTCTTATAAGATGTTTTAACAGACTTTTAAAGAATGTGTGACTATTTTTTCGTTATAGGTATTTCGCGAACCAAGGAATGCTAGCCAGCTTGGTCAAATTCGTTCATCATATGCTGATTTCACTGAGGTCCGCTGTAGATTTTTTCTTTTTTTATGTGTATATCTTAACTTTCAGTATATTGTTCTAGCTATTAATCATTTCCTACTCTTTTTATACTGCAGAATTTTGCTGTGAGCAGTTCGTCTTCAAATGGTGCAGTTTTATTCTGTGTGGTAGGGGGAAAGATGAGTGAACGAATTAACTTTTCTGATGATCTTGGCAGGTAAAAACACAACACTTGACAACTCGTAAGGCCTTATTTTAAGCGCCGAACTCTTCATGAGCCATACATATTCAGTCATTTTCTACCTCGGCTCTCAATAACGCGGATGTCTCCCCAAGACGGACACTTAGTGCATGCCGGTCCTGGCAACGTGTCCTTCTTGTGGTCTTAGAGACGCTATTGATTCCTTGTAGTGAAGATGATCGGTCAATCCACTTTTCAGTTGAGGCAGGGGTATTTATTGAAGTGGACATAGAGCGCAGCAATTTGGGGTGATACGGTGGTCTGGTATAAAGAAAATGGAAGGTACGGTTGTAGTAGTGCGCTCGTTGATTACCTGCGTAACAGTCGTTTCCGTTTTCTCTAACTTAGCCAAGCGGCCCGGAAGCGTGGAAGATGGAAGACGCGCGAGGGTAGGAGCCAAAAAAGGGACCTTACGTATCTTCCGCGTTTTTTTTTTTTTTCCTCGCTTCCAAAAAGAAACGCGAAGTTAC